GGTTATGAAACTCACTGGACAAATAAAATAGTTTAGAAACTCCTTTAACTGATGAGATCAACAGTCTGGTGGTGGTGGTTGTCCTTAAAACACTGGAAGATTAAACAGTTCCCAAGCAGCTCTGATGTGAGCATTCCCACTCCCCAAGATCAAACTGTTTCCTTATACAATGATGGATTTGGAATGATGAAGTTGTTGATGTAAAGCATCACAACAACAGTGTCCGTTAACAGCTGCCACGGCAGCTGCCAGGCTTTTGTCCCGACCGCAGAGTGAGTTCCAATAACTCTTGAGTTGCAGTATGTGGATCTGCAGCCACTCCTCCCGAGACAATCCATGATGTGTCGTCTTCATCTGCTCTGACAGTGAAACACTAAGGTTCCAGTGGGGAGAGGGATGTGGGGTTGTATTCTCAAATAAATCATGCCATTCCTGTAAGGTGTTGACAACCACTGGAAAAGTAACCCATGTGCTAAGAGAATAAAGGTGGCACGAAGGGAAAGAAGAACTTGCTCTTTTGAAGCTTTTTAAGGAGCTATTTTTCTGGTTAAGCACAAGTTGCTCTGCCTACCAGGACCTTAGCAATGTCCTTCTGGACTGTATGACAGCAGAGCATTTCCTGTTCATGGTCCTGTCTCACTGAGAAGTGTGAGGAGGGGGACCTTTTCTCTGCCAAGATGTCCTGCTACAGCTGCCTGCAACAGGCATGAAACTAATCTGCCCTCAGACACTTCTAGAAAATTAGACTATAAGCTGCTTGTACCATAGAGAAACATGTCTATGCTTCTGCCTGCAGCTCTAGTTAATTAACTGTCTTGGCCCTTGTTAAGCAGAGGAGCACCGAATCTGTGAGGCTCCTGGAAGAGGGGTTGTAAAGGAATTTAGTAATAGTTTTCTCAAAAATTTTCTCCCTGTTGGTGCCTAAGACGCAGGCACCTGGACAGTTGTCTTGGATACAGCTTTTCTTGCTAATGATGCTTGGCAGCATCACCTTCCAGGACTGCTCTTCTCCGCTTTCCTCAGGCTGTAACAGCAGGGTTCATGGCACTGAAGCAGCTGCTGTGAAGCAGGCAAAGTTATCATTATGTTAAAGGTGTCTCTTTCCTTGAAGAATCCTTAGGTACCCCCTGAAATTTAGTGTTTATTTACATCCCTTGCCTCCAAAAGGAGGATCACATTGTTTGACTTTCATGTTTTTCCTTAGGGTTAAAAACTCCTAAATTGTTTGGGTCAGTCAGTGCAGCATCTGTTAATGGTGCAGCAAACAGGAGCACCATGGGATGAGGGGAAGCTTGTTGGGGGCCACACTCAGCTCACCACCAGGGTGATGGTGGTATTTCCTCCCTTAGTTCCAGTGCCGTACTTCATAGAATGGTTGGAAGGGACATTAAAGATCATCTCGTTCCAACCCCCCTGCCCTGGGCAGGGCCACCTCCCACCAGCCCAGGTTGCTCCAAGCCCCGTCCAACCTGGCCTTGAACACCTCTAGGGATGGGGCAGCCACAGCTTCTCCGGGCAGCCTGCCCCAGGGGCTCACCACCCGCACAGTCAAGAATTTATTCCCAATGTCTAATCTAAATCTCCCCTCTTCCAGTTTAAAATGGTTCCCCCTCGTCCTACGGCTCCCCTCCCTGATCAAGAGTCCCTCCCCAGCTCTCCTGGAGCGCCTTTATGGACTGGAAGGGGCTCTAAGGTCTCCCCGGAGCCTTCTCTTCTCCAGACTTAACCCCCCCAACTCTCCCAGCCTGTCCTCCCAGCAGAGGGGCTCCAGCCCTCACAGCATCTCCGGGGCCTCCTCTGGCCCCGCTCCAACAGGTCTGTGTCTCTCCTGTGCAGAGGCCCCCGAGCTGGAGGCAGCACTGCAGGGGGGTCTCCCCAGAGCAGAGTTGAGGGGCAGAATCCCCTCCCTCACCCT